CTTTTGATGTCATTCTGAATTGAAAAAAAAACTCCAGAAAAATAACACAGAAAATAAAAATATACCAGAATAATAAAGGTTATATCATTAAGAAATATATATGTATTAATATTACTAGGGATCAAATGCAAGGCCTTTTTATTTATTCATTTTTTGTTGCCGTTTTTGGTACCAGGAATCAAACTCAAGACCTCACACTTGCTGGGTAGGTGCTGAGCTACTGAGGTATACCCCCAACCTCAAATGCAGGACCTTATATATGACAGACAAGAACTATATTACTGAGCTACAACTCAGCACTTTCGGTTTTATATTTTGCTTTGAGATAAGATCTCTCACTAAGTTGCCTTGCCTGGTATGATACTTGCTGGCGTCTTGCTTTAGTCTCCAAAGAAGCTGGGATTATATGTATCTACCACAACACCTGACCATAATATATTATTTTATTATCTACAACCTTTATGTTGAAACTTTAGTGGTTTAATCTCATTGAGGTCTGGAACTGAAAGTTAGAGAGAGGTAGAGACAGAGAGACAGACAGATAGCCAGACAGACAGAGAAAGAGAGAGATAGAGAAATTGATATTGTCCTAAATGGGTAGCATTTATGTGCACCTGAAGAATAAACACAAGTCTAGAAGTTTCCCAACATTTGATCCTCTAGGCTTCCATAATTTCATTTGAACTACATGTGGACATTCAGTATGTGCATACGCACAAATACAAACTCACACCACTTATTGAGAATAAAGAAAGAAGACACCACAGAGGAAAGAAGTAACAGACCTGAACCTGCCCACTGCAGATATTGGAATAACCAGTCACAAAATGTTCAGTAACTATTAAAGAAATGCTTAATGTTATAGAAAGATGGAAACAAATATGAAATGAATAAGGGTTACCTAGATTAAAAGGCATACTTTCAAAATAATACAAAATTATTAAGTGTATAAGTTTTTCGGTGACTTTTTGGGGGTCCTCTATGCAGAGTATCCCATAATCTGCAAATAATGATAATTTAACTTCTTCCTTTTGTATCCTAATTCCTTTTATTTATTTTTCTTGTCTAATTGCTCTAGCAATATTTCCAGAACTGTATTGAATAAAAGTGGTGATAGTGTATATCCTTGTGATAGTGGACATCCTTGTCTTGCTCCTGATTTTAGAGGGAAAGCTTTCAGTTTTTGACTATTTAGTATGATGCTGGCTCCTGATTTTTCATAGATGGCTTTTTTCAGATTGAGCTAAAGACCATCTGTTCAGAGTTTTTATCATGAATGGGTGTTGGACTTTTTCAAATGCTTTTTCTGTATATATTGAGATGATTATATGATTTACATGTTTCCAGATTAAAAAGTAGAAACAGAAAATAAATATATGAAAAAATGTTCAACTTCACTGGTCATTTAAGAGATGCAAATTAAGACAACATAGATTCCATCTCACCATAGGAAGAATGGCTATCATAAAGAAATCAACCAATAACAACTGCTAGAGAGGTAGTGGGGATAAAGGAACACTTTTTCATTGTTGGTGAGAATGTAGACTGGTGCAACTGTTGTGGAAATCTGTAGAGATTTCTCAAAAAACTAAAATTAGAGGTCCCATTTTACCCAACTCTTTCCCTTCTGGGTGTCTTCCCAGAAGAATTAAAAGCATCATGCCACAGTGATTTATGTGCACCCATGTTTATAGCAGCATAGTTTGTAATAACTCTACCATGAAAACAGCTCAAATGCCCATCAACCAAGGAATAGATAAAAAAGATTTTTTATAGAATAGATTACTACTCAGCCATAAAGAAGGATAGACTTGAGACGTTTCTAAGTAAACGGTTGCATCTTGAGACCATACCCTTAAGTGAAATAAACTGGGCACACACACGTAAATATCACATCATTTCTTGGTGTGAGCAATCAAATGTGTACATAAGGACCAAAATGTATAAAATCTATTGTGAAATAGAAAGAGATTGTTCAAAAGAGAGGGCAACAAAGGAGGGGGTGGGGGAAAGGAAGGAAGGGAAAAGAAAAAAGTGATAAATAAAAAGCCCATACTATTAAGTGAAATAAATCAGACACACATGTTTAAACATACATTGTTTTTCTGATGTGAGAAACTGAAAATGTAAATAAGGACCAAACTGTATAATAGATACTAAGAAATAGGAAGAAAATATTCAAATGGGAAGGGGAATAATGGAGGGGAGATGGGGAAAGCAAGGAAAGGAAAAGAGAAAGGAGAATAGAAGGAAAAAATGAAAATAATGCTTTTGTCAATAATGAGGGAAAAAAGGGCAGAAGGGAGGAGAGGGGATTGGGGAGCAAAGAAGCATCAAGATATGTCATGTACAGGTACAAACTCCACCTGATGAACATGATCATTATGTATATATAAAATGTACCAATAACATTAATTTTAAAAATCATAAAAAGTTATTTTTTGAAATCAAAAGAGGACATCATCAGTGAAAAGTGAATCACTGAATATGATAAAAAAGGATCAGGCATACATGAAGAAAGAATTAATGAAGTTGAGAATAGCATCAAACAAATTGGTCAGACTGCAAGGTACCATGACAGAATAAAACTATTATAAAACGAGGGTAAGAGATGTAAGTTTAGAATTAGAAAGTATCAGGTTTATATAATTGAAATTGAGTAAAAAGAACATGGAAGAAATAATATTTGACATATTAAGAGTTTTGAGAAATAATGAGTAGACAGATGAATAATGCCTATGAACCAGATACACAGGAACATAGGAACTAATTAATATGTTCAGAGAGCATTAAAATACCAGCTAAGACACTTAAAAAAGGAATCCATAACCAAATACATCATAATGGAAGCACAGAAACCAAAGAAAATTAGATGGTCTTAAAGGTGGCTTATAGGAGGTGAACTGGAAGTATCAGTACACTTTGAAAGGTGGGACAGATTGACCAGAGATTTTTCAGTAGCAGCCACTGGTGCCAGAGGACCAGAGCTAAGTGATGTGTTACTGAGTGTTTAAAAGTGGCTCTTCTGCAGGAAGAGGTGGGAAGCACCCTGATAGGCAGCATTTCTGAATCTTCCAGGGTGAGCACTCCTACGATGGACCATTTCAAGATACCACCGCGGCATCAACAAATGCACAGTGGAGGAAAGATGTGTACTTTCCCTCCCTGGTAGAAGTCAGTGACCATTGGCTCCAATAAACTGGATTCTTCAGTGTTGAGCTAGATGTTGAACATTATCTGCCTAGAATGAAGTTGAAATATGAACCATTTTACAGCTAAAAATGTTACAATCAAGGGACCTTCACACAGGAAAAAGCATTTGATTCAGCAACGAAGAAACTGAATCTAAGCGAAAGTAGAAAAGTCTGAGATGAGAGAATGGCACTTAAAAAGCTACTGGCAATATTAGTAAATTAAATAAAGAGTTTCCACCAAAAGCAACAATTCTTATTATTAGGAAGGAGCAATGGGATAAGAAATAAACAAAAATCAACCCAGTGGTCAGTTACTATTGATTGGTTCATTCAACTGCCGCTGGAGAAATGAACACTGACATTTTCTGGACCTATTGTGGTTAAGCTTTTGGATTCACATTATGTTCTGCAAAATGTATCCCCTTCATATATTTTTTAAAAAAGAAAACAGTGAAACTACTTATTTTCTTGACTTTTCAACTTTTTCCACTGTCCAGAAGAAATCAGGGGCATGAGGCATACTTTCCAGCAATCCCTTAGTAATCTTCTGCCTGTCACCACTTGACCTGCCTTTCTGGGGCCTTATCAGCTCCTGGACTTTGGGATAGTCCCAGCAGGTAATCCGTAGCTGCCCAGAAAGCCCCATCAATCCACTTGAAAAGTCATTCCATGATAAGAACTTATGCTATAAGCTCTACAACAATTTTGTTAAGAAACTAGTTTCTTGTTTTAAATCTAATCCTGCTTAAAATGTCAAGAGTTAACAGCGGTTTTTTTTTTTTTGGATTGTCTTGTGACAGACTATCAAAGTACATGATAGAGTCAAATGGATATTTGGAAACCAAAAATAGGGAGGCAGAAACAAGCCTGACTGTACTAGCAACCTCAAAATGTGAAAGGAGCCATGCCTGACAACCTAAAAGACAGAAATGGTCAAGTTGGGTATAATATCACAACTCAGCGGTGTTCTCTTCACAAGATCACACATAACGCTTAAAGGAAAAAGAAAGATTGAACGCATGAGAAAGGATAGATGGGCAAACTGTAACCACAGTAAATCTGTAATAGCTACATTAATGACAGATAAAATCAATTCAAGTGCAAGAAGATATTGAAGTAAAAGGACATCATTAAGTATGACAAATATGTTCAACTTATCAAGAACACATAAAATTTTCAATTTTCTATGTAGCTAATAAATACCCTGATATAGAACATAGAAATCTGTCAAACTTTCAGTAGAAAAAAAAAACCTCTATTGTAATAGATTTCAATCCTCCATCAATTGTCTATATTTTTTACTTTGTGGTTAAATAAAAATCAAATAAGTTAAAAGCAAAGCGCTGTATGAATTTAAAAAATAATAATGTAAAATCAAATAAAATGGTTTGTTATTGCTGTCATTATTATTATTTATGTCCTTGGGTTTAAACCCTGGGCCTTTCCACTGAAGCATACTTCTAGCCCTTTTTATTTTGAGATGGAGTCTTGCTAAGTTGCCCAGGCTGGGCTCAAACTTGTGATACTCCTGCTTCAGCTTGTTTATTATTTTACTTGTTTACTTTGCTACTTTATCTTCCTCAATTTCATGCAGAGTAACTACTCCAGTAGAAATAAATTCCTGTATCCATGCTTGCCATACATGCATCTAAACATTTACTGTTTCAGAAATCTTGATTCTAGATTTTGGATAACCTGTGAGCAAAAGTGTCAGCTTGGAATCATGAGGAATTCCAGTGGGAGGTGTTTACTTAGTCATTTGTTTTAACAAAGCACACTGGAAAGGCATTGACTAGAGCGACAGACCTGTGATTTTGCCCAAGATGAGTGACCTTATGGTCCTGAATTCGACTTCGGGTGAGAAGTTATAGCTTAGCCGGAGTTGCTGGTCCATCTGCCAGAAAAGAGAAAACAAAGGCCTGTCAGCCAAGGTTCTCCTTACAGGGGACAAACAATTTCCATCTGGAAATAGTTGGAAAAATGCACACCATGTAGAGACTTCACTCTGGGATCTTTCCTCAAGAGAATTTAGAAATGTATCACTAATTCTCCCACAATGCTCATAAAATACCCATTTCTTTCTTCCTTGTGAAATGAAGACTTTCAGAGAAATTTCTCACTGGGAAAGTCTGTACAGGTGTTTATCTTTCCATGGAGATTTCCTCACCAAATTCTTTGCTGCAAAACAAGTAAACAAACGAAACCTGCGCTGAAGCTGCTGCACAGGATTAATGCCATGTGGTATCCGGCACTTTCCCCTGTCCCTCTCTTCTGCCCTCTGGTCCTTAGGTCACCAATATTCTCTTTTTCTCCTGAATCCTGACCAAGTCTCATTCAAGTGTAGACTGAGGGGGTTTCCTGGGCAAGATTTGCTGCAGTTTGACAAACATCAGTCTCTAGGGAGGAGAGGTTGGGAGAAGTTACCACTGATGTTGCAGCTGATCACCCCATCCTACAGAAGTGAGCAAATGCTACTCCTGGACTGTGTTTGAGGCTGTCCTTCACATTCCTCTACTCATCCATTTTGAACCCAGTTACATCGGGTTTTTTCCCTACACCTCATTCCTACACAATGCTCTTCATCCACCCAGGCTATCCTTTTTTCTGCCTAGTCAAATCCAACCAGTTTCTACCAGACCTTCCTTTGAGTATCGTCATGATGCTCCCTGTGCAACGGTTCCTCATCACCTGGTAGTGTTCTGTAAGAGAAGAAGAGGAAGACCCTAGGGCTGAGCGCCTGTCACAAGGCTTGGGAGCAGCAGGTCTGCCATAATTCCATCTCCTCTGCCCACCTTCCTTACACACCTTGGTGCTCAGGGCAGCCCTCAGGAGCCTCCTGGTGCCGAGCTGGTTTTTCCTCTGAGAAATGTCATGACGATAACCTGTGCACATGATTGCATGCTTTGTGACTATTTGGGGACTTAAATATACTTTCCTTACTTGCCACTTATTGAACAATGGGATGTATGAGACATGGTACTAATGCATTACTTCCAAATCTGTTTCTTCCTAGAGTGCTATGAACCAGGTTTTACGAACCAGTCTAGTATTATTATTATTAATTAACATTGTAGTCATGTATTTTCACTATATTACATGTTAATAGTAGCCCAAATGGTGAAACTGTTGTCACAGAGATGAACAACCTGACTCAGGCCGCACTTCATTGCAAGAGCAGGGCCCCTTGTCCCATGGCCCACTCGACACAGGGCACTGCTTGTTATGCTTCACTGCATATTTGAGCAACTGAGAACTTTTTAATTTATTGGTAAATCTCCACAGCAGATATTCAATAAACAGTTGAATGTCTACTGCCTACCAGGGGCTGTTTTAAGGACACCCTGATCCACTCACTCCAGATGCTTTGTTTAGGTTATAGCTGACCTTTTTCTCCACTTCTTTTAAAATTGTATTGGCACGTGCTTGCGGTGCATGAAGCTTACATTCCTTCTGGGGAGCAGATGTGTAACACAGCGTGATTCTTTGTTAGTCTCCATCGCCTTACCACCCACCTCCCTCCTCCCTTCTCTAAATCTCCTCTCTTCATTTTCATTCTTGTTGTTATTATCATCATTATCAAGGTTGCTCTGGTGAGCATTCTCGTTATGATCATTTTTCTATCACTTAAGACATATAATGTCATATATCACAGTCACTGTGGGCATGTGGTACCTGTGAGTGGAGTGACTCATCCTAAGTGTTTTCACTCCCTCTCCCTTCCCCTCGCCCCCGCTCACCTAGACTTTTTTATCTCTTACTTCGTAGTAAGATGCTGCATTGCAATAATCTCTCTCCTCCCTTCCCTCTCCCTATCCCTCCTCTCTCCCTCCCTCTCTCCCTCCCTCCCTCCCTTTTCCTGTCTCTTTCTCTCTATCCCTCTCTCTCTATCCACTAAACTATGGATTCTTTTTTGTTTTGTTTTGTTTTTTTTTCCGGTACCAGGAACTGAACTCATGACCTTGCACTTGCCAGGCAGGCGCTTTGCCGCTGAGCTAAATCCCCAGCCCCCTAAACTATGGATTATTTGAGGGCTACAATTGCCTCTGTGTCTATTTTCTGTTGGAAATAGCAACTGGCAAAGTTTGCTAGATGAGTAAATATACATCTTGTATTGATTCCCCTTCTGCCTGGTGGGCTACAAAGACAGAGTCCACAGTAACACCAGGATGTCTGTGGTAGCTTCCACACCTTTGGGCACAAGAGGCCTTTGGTACCCTTGGTCCCCACCCATCATCTATTCAGTGCCCACAGGTTTGGATGTAGGCCTAGCCCTGGAGAAGCTTTCTTCTGCTTCTGCCAGAACTCTTCCTTGCCTCCTCCTATCATCTATCTGCAACGACCTCTTCTGGCAGGGGCAGATGTATAACACAGCGTGATTCTTTGTTAGTCTCCTCAGGCTTTTCTGGCTGCAGAGAAGGTCCAAGGTGAATGCGGACACCTGCCATGAGGAGAGAAGTGGCAGGATCTTGGGAGTAGAGCTGGAGCTGAGAATCCCCTTGGTCTGCTCCTCACCACTCCACAAGTTCCACAGCATCAGCTCTCAAGTGGTTCCCCAGACAAAGACACCGCTTTGCTCAAACACCACACAGGCAATAGACCACTGTCCCCGCACATGAGTTATTCTTGTCCTAGATTTTGCTTTGTGAGAAGGTGCTTGGTCCTTCACACCTTCACCAAATCAGTACCAGAGGGAGAGAAGGTGAGTGAGACTCAGTTAAAGAAGTTTCAGCAAAACCAGCCTTTGTAAAAGTTGGGAGAGGAAGGTGGGAGTGCCGGCACCAGCCTGGGCTCACAAGGAGCACCTGTGCTGTACTTTCAGGTGCTAGGCTGCTTTTTGAAAAAGTGCAATAAGGGACGCAATAAAGGTGCAATAAAGAGATTATTTTACGGTTTCATTATTTATAATACAGGTTAAGAAATTAATGAGATAGACAGGAAGATGTGTATTATTTTATTCCATTCCTGTATAGCCATTTTACACTTTGTATTGCTTTCCTCTGTAATTACAATTACTAAGGTGGTAAAGGGGTAACAGTTTGTACTCTTTATTCCTTTAGGGTATCTCAGGCTTGAAATCTTAGACAAGCTTAGTCCACCTCCAAACCTAGAATACTCTGAGACACTGTCAATTTGTTAAAGAATAGTAAAAAACGAAGAATGGGAATAATTTTTTTTTTTTTTTTTAGCAAGCCCAGATGTTAGATTTCATTATTGGGTTTTTAGCTATGTCTTTTTATATAAATTTTGTGAGAACTGACTTAGTCTAGTTGCTTTCATTCTTGTGCAGATAGCAAGATAGACTAGATAGATAGATACATGATAGAGCTTAAGTGACAGAACATAAATTTACACCCAAGCATGTCCACCTGTAGAGGTACCACTCCAGCCTTAGGATCTTTATTTTATAAAAGAAGGAATTAACCAGTTTCAAAAATTATCTGCCCACTCCTTTGCCGGTCAGTGTTCTGCTGGTATTTTGTTCAACTGGCTCAATCTATGTAATGTTGCCAGTGTATCTTAAATAAGGACACTAAATTTCATCTCTACAATTAACACATTGAGGGGGCATCCTGGCACTTAAAAATTACTAGGCACTTCCAATTCTGAAGTCATCCCAGAGAGTTCTTTCTCATGGCTGTAGACCTAGGCTCTAAGAACATTGTACAGTCATGAAGCTTGGAGGTGTGCAGGAACAGCAATTTGAGAACAGGAGTTTTGAGGGAAACTATCCTTAGTGCCTGTACTCTGGATGCTGGGGAATAATGATGTCAGCCTCCCTCTCTCTTTCCTGAGACACTTTGCACAGGGCAAGGGTGTGGTTAGGGATGTTTTAATAGCCTTCCCTTTCCTATTGGAACCAAAGAGCTTATTGGAGGGGGAGGAAAGGGAAAATACCCTGACTGTGTGAGGGGGGATTGGACTGAGGGGAGACAAGGGTGTCATGTTCCTGCATTAATGAAAATTTGGAAACTAAAACCTTTGCCTCTTTTTTTCTGCTCCTTTCACACATCAGTAATAGTATCTGCTCATCTCACAGGCATGTATCACTGACTGTAAGTTAATGAGGAAATTCTTCAGATGGAGGAGTGAAAATGCAACTCATTTCTCTCTTGGATTCCTATTTATAATTTTTTCTGTGTGGAAATGATGATGGGAATCATACATCAAGGGGAAAGGGGTCATATGTACAATGTGCACCAGAACTCTCCCCGGTTCTCCCATTTGGACCTCAGTCAGAACCCACTCAGATGACTCAGAGTCCCTGTCCCTTTCATCCTTCCTTTTGGCTCCCACACAAATGTGCTCAGAGGACTTTTGCCCTGCCGCTGCCTGGAGAGATTGCTAGCGGCAAGCCCATTGCATTCTGATGATCTGGGAATTACTTGTACTGCCTAACTGACCATTATTCCTGAATGTCCATCAGATGAGATAACTAATAGCTTTCTAACTCCTCCCATACTCTATAACCAAGTGGTTATCACTACTCCTATGACCTCTTCCAAATCCATCTCTCCACAGCATCCCAGCCTACCCTAGCTGAGGCCCTCTGTTCTCTTCTGGACTGATCTCAGCCTCATTTCCCATTACTAGGAAACATGTCCTTCCATGCAGTGATGACAGGGAGGGCATAGAACTGAAAATCACAGCGCTCTACTTCCAGGCCAGGCCTAGCAGCCCATGCTTTCCGTCCTCTCTACAAGGTCAGTTCAGTCTGCTACACGCAGCGTCTTAAGTGCAGTGGCAGTCAGCCATTCACTTCTCAAATATTTGCTGAATGCCTATTGCATGTTATCCAATCCATTGTAAAGTAGGGATTCTGTAATAATGAGAACAGACAAAAATCCAGGTTGTCATGAACCTGACATTCTAGAGGCAGAGACGGTACTGAAAGTTTGATAAGTAAGTGAGTTTTATTGGATGTTAGATAGCATCAAATTCTGAGAGAAAAAAAGTAAGGTGGGTAAAGGCTATGTGGATCATGGGACTGAAATCAAGCAGAGACTGCAACGTCAAGAGAGGGTTAGGGTTAGTTACTCATTTGAGATGGATTTACCTGCACACACATGGTATCTACAAACAGGAGCTTGAATGAGATGAGCTGTGTGAGCTTCAACTACACAAAAGAAGGCATCAAAGACAGAGCCCTATTGGGCTTCAGTGGGTAGAGTGGAGAGAGGAGAGCTGAACCACAGGATAAACAAGACTGGACAGCTGATGGAGGCAGAAGAAAGCTGGCAGGAGCGCTGTCCTGCAAGCAAGCAAGACGAAGTCAAACCCAAGAGCAGGAAGCCATCACCATGTCGTGGCCCCTGAGAGGATGACTGAGCTTCTGTGAGGAAATGCCACTGGTGCTTACAAAGTACAACGCTGGTGCCATGTGGGAAAAACCTTGTTAATGAGGGTGTAAGGGAAGGAAGTGTCATTTGGAAACCAAGCTTATAGACAACATTGCCATGATTTGGGCAATAAAATGTGGGAGAAAATGAGCCAGTCAATGACGTCTGGTAAAAAACAGACTTCCTCCCATGACCCCAAAGAGATTTTTGTGTGTTTGCTTGTTTTTTCTGTATTGTTAATGTGTGGAATAATCACTTGTTCCATGCTTTGGGAAATCGTCTAATAGAGCTGAAAAAATTGTAACCAGAGAGGGAGAAAGTATTGTTGGTGAGTGGGCTCTGGATCTGACTCACCAGCAGGAGGTCAGAATTTAGCTAGGACCATGGGGCTGGGGGTATAGCTCACAGGTACAAGCACCTGGGGGTATAACTCACAGGTACAAGCACCTGGCTGGCAAGCCCAAGGTCCTAAGTTTGATTCCTGGTATCAAAAAAAAAAAAAAAAAAGTTAACTAGGATCATGAACTATGCAAAAGGAGTAACAGCAGAACAAGCACAGGACAGAGGTGTAGACAGATGGGGAGTGTGCCGCTGAAGGCATAGGTATTTTCTTCTTTACACTACATTGCTTTAGAAAAAGGAGAAAGTGAAATCACTTGCTGAGAGTGCACCTGGAATTACAATTGCCTTAGAGAGGACGCATTTTAAAGGGGTCAGGGCAGAGAGGAGGAGGAAGGTAGAATAAAGTAGCATAGGTTGATTGCCAGGAAAATTTAAGGGATCCATCCCAGTTTTGATTCTGAGGGACATTTGAAGTCCTACCTAGTCTCCACTTTGATCTGCTCACATGTACTTTAGACCTTTGTACAGAGACCACTGAGATTTCAAGGAGTGCTGACCGCAGGCTTGGACTCTCAGAGAGCTCCACCTGTGCTCACGTGGAGCCCCCTCCTGAGTCCTCTCCACTCCCTTCTCCGCCTAGTGACTCCTCTAGGAAGTGAGCGTTCATGCTCAGATGTGAGCTGGGCCTTCCCCAGGGCCTGTACACCTGTGCCCACTTCCTTCACAGGCCTGGCTTGTCTAGTTGACATTCCTGTTTCATGTTGGAATCTCCTCCTGCCTCCCTGTCCCATAGAGTCTAAGGAAATGCATGTGACATGGTGTGAGGCTTGAGAATTTGCATCTCTCACAAGGCCCCTGTGATGCTGAGGCTGCTTAGGAGTGGGGAGCACTTCCCATGAGAGTGGCTGTTCTACTTGTTCTAAGACTGAGGCCAAATGCCACACATTTCTGCATCTCAAGCATTTGACTCTACTTTGGTTTGGGTGCAAAGGTCAGAAAGCTTGACTGAGAAGACATGCAGCGTTGATGGAGTGGAAAGATTGACATATGGTACCTGAATGGTCAGCTCTCTTCCTTCTCGGTTAATCTGCAAGTGGTGCATCCTTCTGTTGGCGAAGTTCTCTGCATCAACGGTGAAAACATGAGTTTCTTCCTTGCTTAACTGATAGCGAACCTGTAAACTTCCTTGAAAGAAAAAAGTTAAGAATCAGAACAAAGCGTAGTGGTATGAAATGCAAAAGTATGATCAGGTTGTTATTCAGTCTCTTCTGTTTTCTAGGGACTCATGTCTCAACCCAGTCATAGTTCAAACTCTCGTAATGGACTATGTGTGCTCAGCAGGGTCCAAAGAGAAAGTCCTGAATGTCTCTGCAAAATCAAAATGAGGTGTGTGTGTGTGTGTGTGTGTGTGTGTGTGTGTGTATTAGTTATCAAAACCTAAAATGCAAGTCTGAAAAATAAAGCAAGAATTGTTCTATAGTGGGATTGTGAGAGCTTTGATAAGATGCATTTCAGTCTATTTTCACTCTGTGCAGTTCCTACCACTTTCTGCAGCTCTCCCTTTTCCCAACCTTCCTTCCTTTAGACGTGAGGAGGAGTAGAGGAACTCTGTCCTCTTCTCACTGGTTGTTCTATGATGCCTTTGATGGGAGTGTGGTGTGGTCAGAACACAGTGACCCTATCTAAACCTTGAGTGCCCACTGGGACATTCAAGTTTCACTAAGAGTGGAGGTTCACTATCAGTGGAGGTCAGAAAATCAATGTACTGAGCCTCAATCAGCATCTCTGACAAAATGGAACAGAATTGAAAAGAAAAACTGAGAATCCCGAGAGACATATTAAGGACAAGAAGTGCATCCCTGTGAGTGTGTGTGTGTGTGTGTGTGTGTGTGTGTGTGT